TGAGGGTGCTCAGATCGTTTGTCGAATAAAATTTGATGATCAATGGGTAGAGTGCCTCCGGTCAAGCTAGTCTGGTCAAATGAGTTTGTCAGTTGAAGTTTAGTACGGATAAATTATCGTTTTATGATCATAATATTTGTTATGTCGATATGTTAATACTTTTTCCTATTAAAAACTAATAAAAATGTAACGCTTCGACGTTAGCGTTATTTTTGCTAAAACAAAGCGATATTTTTCCGGATTCCGATCTTATAGGCGATACGTGCCAGTTAACTTTTGTCAATATCTGATATTCAAATAAGTACTAACGGTTACTATCAACTTTTTTTTTGTTAATAAATTAACAAGGTCTTCAGAATCTTGCAACGCAAAAATATCAAGTATACTTTTCAAGTGAAGGCTTTAAATTGTCTTTTGCATGTAAGCATTTTTGTTCTAATTTTTTCTAAATTTATTAGCTCTGACTCACGTTATCAATTGGATCGTGATTATCGTCATGACTAACATCGTCCACAAAGAAATGTAGCTTAAGTCATAATTAAAACTCAGAACCAATAACAAAGCTTCTTAGTAATAATTACCATTGCCATGCACAATTTATCGTTATTGTGCTTCAGAGCTTTAACAATGACATATGCTACATTTTTTGTGGGGCTGTTATCATAACTATCATTTATCAGTTATTGTTATTCAGTGCGACCATTAAAGTACGCATCATTACATGATTGATTGGGGTGTATCCTATCGGTTGATTTACAAACATAGTGCAGATGATATAGTTAAGGTTGTTAAATTTCAGTAATTTTACGTAAATTGAAATTTCATGTATTTGTAATTTTGAACACATGACATTTAGTTTCTGAGATCAAATTTTCGGCGTTTTAGATGCTGCCGAAATTTTGTAGATCTGGAGTTTCATGTATGCCGTGTGAAAATTACATGAAATTCAATTTTCTGAAACTTAAGTAAAATTAGGTGTAATGTAAACCCTAGATATAGTGGATCATATATAAAGATTATAATTAAATTTTGGGATCTACGTTTCATATTAAATTTTGCCTTTAATTTCTCCCGCAATATTTTAACATTTTTAAATTCTATAAAAGCAAGAGGCTTAATGAAAAGTGTCTTTATAAAGTAATAACGTTAGAATTTTATCTTACTAATTGAAATATGTCACGGCTTACCTGAGTGTTTGATATCATACGATTTACTGCGATCATATAGTAATTCATTGTGTCCGGATTTCCTCATAAATTTAAAGTGCACGTTAAGAGAGCTTCGGCAAATATAATTCATTTGTACATGTTTATTGGTTCAAAAGTTATTAAGGATTGGATTTTTATAAAAACCCGGCCATCGATTTACTATGTAGCCCGTATGTGGCCTGTATTATGTTTGTAAATCGTGTGATAGCAGGCACCCAAGTAAGCTGTGACATATTTCAATAAGTGAGATAAAATTCTAATGTTATTACTTTATAAAGACACTTTTCATTAAACATCTTGCTTTTATAGAATTTAAAAATGTTAAATATTGCACGTAGATCCCAAAATTTAATTATAAAAATCTTTATATATAATCATCACTATATCTGTACTATGTTTGTAAATAAACCGATAGGATACACCCCAATGATTGATGCATGAATAACGATATTATGAGCGCTAGATAATTTATGCGATAGTAATTTTGCGATCAATTATAAGATATTATAGTCATTTATTCTTTGTAATCTTTCGGCATTGCTCAAAGATTTACCTCAACTTTCAATATTGTTATTTGGACTATGTAAAATTAAAAATTTGCTATGTCCATATTTTGTCTATATGTTTTTTTCAGTTAGTCCAAATTACAACATTGCCAACCTTGCACGTATTTTTAATTACTGTACACTAATATATGCAATGCGAATTAGCAGCATTGCATGGATGTCGATCAACCCCATTTGCATCACGCAGGGTGATAAATTAGCATTTGTTAAATTAAGTAATACTTTGTTGATGAATTTTCACATGGTGTGATGTCGGTTAAATTGCCTTTTGGGGAAATGTCCATAAGGAAATTGGCATAACGTCACACTACGATCCATCCAAGATTGGAGACATGCGATTCTATAATTTCTTCATCCACAGCCAGTGGAAATTAATTGACTATTTCTACGACGACTCTCAGTCCAACTCGACCAATTATTCACTTCTCTACCATGTATTTTGCTAGCCTTTCGAAAAAACAAACCCCCCAGGGGCCGACATAATTTAAATCAAATGCATAATATGCCGTGCGACGTGATGCTTTTCATTACCGTCAATCATAATTATTCTTGTTGGCCAATCGACTAACCTGTAAGATCACTATTTAAGTATCTCAAACTATAAAAATGGATATATCAATACATATATCATTATACGCTGCATAAAGCTATCTATATCTTACAATAATGCCTTTGAATCCAGTGTTAGAACAACAAGAAATAGAACTTGCAGCAGATTTGAAAGATGGGAAATGTTGTATCTTTACAGGCGCTGGCGTAGCTTCCGCTATTATCCACCTTGATCCAGTTCTTACTAAAGGAAGTGCCAAGACTATTAAGTCAACTGTCGGAAGTTGGGCTGGTTTTCGTACGTTTCCGTTGTTCTTTACATTCACTTTTAAACAATTCAGTTTTATATCATTAATATTATTTTGCATATAAAAAGTTCGTGCTGTGGCTACAGAATTTTTCCGAACATATACGTCATCAAATCTTTCCTTCGAAGATATTAAAAGTTTGATAAAATTTGGAAGTTATGTTGACGAAAAACTCACCAAAGTATTTGAAAAAAATCAAGGCCAATTATCTGCTGCAATTAAAGCTGTTGAAGACGCTATTTACGACCGAAAAGAATTTTCACAAAATAAGTCAATTTTCCAAAATACTGATACTGACGATAAAGAAAGACTTTTTTCGGAAATTAATGTTGAGATTCAAAGAACTAAATTTAGTATTGAACGTATTTACGATGCATTACCTCAAACAAAGTCCAAAGAAACTAAAATGAGGAGAGAATATTTTGACCTTTTAAAAAAAGCTGCAATAACTCCGTGGGGGAAAGGGTCCGCAATTAAAGAATCAACGGAACTCCTCACACAACTTATCAACAAAATGAATGAAAATTTAGGTTGTAAGTAATATATTTGGAATCATAAATATTGTATACATGTTATGATTATATTTTAAATTTATAACATTTCTTTCAAGATACTTCATGCGGTAATGTATGGCAACGAGGTTCTAAGTCAGTCAAACAAAGGATTGACCAATTAGAACAGGAGATTACCAATAATCAAGATGAAAAAGCAAAAGAAAAGTTGAAATGTTTTAAAAATAATTATACATAATTGAAATCAGTATTTGATAAGCTTTCTGGTAGGCTTTTTTTTGTTTTTAATGTAATGTACTATGAACAGCCTATTTAGAAAAAATATATTAAATCACTCCTTTTTTTAGGCACCACTGAGAAAGATGTATATGCTACAGAATTCAATAAAGATTTTCAATTAACATTAGCTGGTGTACTTTCTGTAAATGACGATATTTTGAATACAACTTTTAGACATCTTACTGAACTTGTACTTAGTCCATTAAAGGTAAATATATATTATATCAAAAATATCCTTTTTGATCAATATTACAGCTCAAATATTCTTTTTATTAGTCAAACCCACATTCTCCTTTAGCCAAGGCATTGGATATAATATGTGAAAAAAACGTGCTTTTAACTTCAAACTACGATACATTCTTGGAGAGCGCATTATTTCGTAATGCATTGGATTATATGGAAGACTTAGCCGACTCAAATCAATTAGATTTCTTAATCCCAAATGATTTTACAGATGATTTGAATTTTCACAATCGTTATGTTATTCATATTCATGGTCTTTACTATGATAAAGGAACCTTCGTTATATCTGAAGAAGAGTATAAAAATACCATTAACTCATTCGCAAAATTTATGAAAACAGTAATTCTAGATAAGAGGCGATCTTTAGTATTTATTGGAGTTAGTGCAGATGGTTGGACGGACTGGCATATGGCTTATTTATTCAATGAATTGGCTAACATGAATGACAGAGATAGCCACCCTCATCACTATTGGGTTGTGGTGAGAGGGACTGAATTTCCTAAGGAAGATGACTTCTCAGAATTATCAAAACAAGAAGAACGAAAGATTACTCTGGATTATGTTAAGAAAAAAGTTAAACCTGTTGTTTATGGTGATTCTTATGACGATTTACCTCCTTATCTGATATATCTTTCAAATTTAAAACAAAAACCCGTGGCTAAATAACCTGAAAATAATGTGTATTGATTGT